AATAGTCAACCAACCATTTCCATTTTTACAAACTCGTTCAGGGCTGCCACGTCTCTGGCAGCAGCATCTTCTTAGGGACGTGAGACCCCCGGAAGATGCAGGCTATGGGCATCTGCTGCTGGTGGAACCTGTGGCCTTCTGCCAGCAAAGCAGGGGCTCAGCACCAAAGGACATCCCCACCCATCCTTCTGATGGACACTTTCAAAAACAGTGAAGTTCAGAATAGAAATGGAAGTGATCAATATGGCTATCTATCCAGGACCATGCAATAAACAGCCTGTTGCAGCACAGGGGTGCATAACCTTTCTGACTGTCAGTGAATTGAATAAATGAGGTGGCATTAGACTGGGCTGCATGAAGGCATTGCTTAGACCCTGGGAAGACCATTCAGAGTGAGGGCAAGCAAATGCAATTACGAGTGAGCTCACCTTTTAGCAAGGAGAGCCTAAAATCACTCCAAAGCAGTGATATGTGTTTGGCTGTAGATGTTTGCAAAAACTGCATTTGGGCAGAACTCCAGCTTGTTCTGAAGTCTGCTCTCTGTTGCAGCCATAAAGCATTTGGCATAAACCAAAGAAGAACCACAGTTTGGATCAGGGAGAAGTCTTGAAAGGAAGTCAGGAATATGCGTGCACTTTTCTTCTTGTGGAGCCCGTGGGGTGCAGGAAGTGGCACGGGGGAGTTAAGATTGCAAAAGGTCCCTTCCCTGCCACACAACATCCTTTCCGGGGTAGTTTGGTCCCAGCTGTTTGGTTAGGATCCGTGGGGAGGGGAGGAGCAAGGGCTCCCCCGCGAAGAGCCCCTTTTCCTGGATGGAGCAGCCAGTCAAGTCTGTGGAGTTGCTCGTCAATAATTTAAAGTATAAACAGCACTTTACATTAAGTGACACTAATTACCCCTGTAAATTCCACATAATTAACATTTAACTGCATTTTAATTTTTATGGGATTATGCAAGCCAGTATGGCAAGTACCCCTTCCTGTCCCTCCCCCAAGCAAGGCTAGTATTCCAAACTCCTTGGGGTTGCCTCTTCCAGGGCAACCCCCCCCCCCATCAAAGAAGCCCCCTCCTTAGCACTACATGGAGTAGGAATCAGTGACAGCAAGTCATGGAAGGGCTTCCAGTTTGGCTTCATGTGCTCAGGGCTGGCCCAAGAAACTTTGGCGTCAGGGGGAACACCCCCGAGGCATCCTTCCTGCCTGCGGATCAGTGATGGGGGCAAGCCACCGGCAGCTCCTGGCATACCCTCCTGCCCCCTCCATTGAAAAAAGCAGGCCCTGCTCTGGAAAGAGGCGGTGTTGCCCATACCGGGCATGCGTGGAATCGAGAGGCCGGCGCAGCGGCAAAGGGCCGTACAGTTTGCATCTAAATAAAAGGAGCACAAGAGCTGCGGTTAATGTAGTCAGTAAATAAATAGAGGAGGGCTTAAGCTTAGTGTACAGCAATCAGTTTAGAACTACAGGATAATTAACCCAGCAGGGGGCCGGAGCAGCCTATAGTCAGGTTTAAATGAACGAGTTCACTTGCATTGAGGCAAACTTGCGCAGCTCCCCGGGGAACATAAAAATACTCTGAAAAGTGCCACCGAAAGGCACGGAGCTGAGCCACATGCAGGCCGCTGAGCTGCTGCCTTTGTCTCTCAGACCCTGGACAGGCCTTTTTCTGACGCTCCTCTTTCAGCGAGACCCTCGGAGTGGGGCACGGGAGCCCCACGCCCGGTTCCCCGCACTGCCTTCCCCACCTGTGTGGCTGCCCTCCCTGCCTCACTCCGCTTCTCCCCAGCCCAGCCCAGCCCAGCCCAGCCTTCCACATCCATGCCAGCAGCTGCCCCACCGAGTCGACATCGGTGCGCTTGTGCCGTCCATCTTCCAGCAGCGAAGACGCCTGCAAACCTTCCCCACGCCACGGGGCTTGGCCGAGGACCTGCGCAGACTCTCCGAGGAGAGGAACCATCATGCCTGGATGTCCGAGGAGGTGACAGCATGTGCCGTGCATGGCGCTGCATCATCGCGCATCGCAGGCCCTATTCACGCAATCTCGAGGGGGCTTCACAAGGTGGCGGCGACGACTGCCAGCGAGAAGATGAGCCAGATGGAGCCCCGCGGAACAGGAGGGACCAAGCAGAGGCGCTCTCCAGGTCTTGCTCCAAGTCATCTGTGGTCCCTCTTCTTTCACCGTCCAGAAGGGAAGCCTCAGCCCTCCCTTCTTGCCTGTGAAAGTTTTCAAGAGCAGCATCCGGGGGCTTCCAGAGCAGCAGCGCTGCCAGCAGCATCCCGGAGGAACTTGGCTTTGACTCTTAGCCCTTCGTGTGGGTCTCTGGACTGGGGAAGCAGGTGCCATCCGATTCCCATAAATTATGGCTCGCACATCTTATTCGCCCACATGGTCAGTATCATGTACTCGTGGGGAGGGTGACCTGACTTCTGAGCGCTAGAAGATCATGTGCGCCCCAAGGATGAAGGGAGAGGCGCCCCAAGCTCTTCCCCACCGTGCTGCAGCCCTACTTCCATCATGGCAATTATTGCTAGATATGTAGCTACCTATTTAAATTAGACTATGGGAAATTTATGCAAATTAGCTCCCTCTTTGCTTGATGGCGTGCCTCCTTGTTTTTGGCCACGCGTAAGCGCCCAGCCCGAAATCCAGGGCAGTCGCTCCACTTGAAGGGTGTACATGCGAGTGGTTCTGGAAGTTTCTGCGGGATGGGAAGGCATCCAAAGGAATGTCAAGGGAGGGGAAGCAGCCTCCAGAGCCCTGTGAATGCCTCTGGGAGCAGGGGCGGGGAGGGCCAATCTAGCCACAAAACCTGCGTGAAAAATGAGGGTAAACTCCAGACAGTGCCAAGTTCCTCAGCAGAAGTTCAGATGACGCTTTGCTCTACTTTTGCAGAACAAAAATATGTTTGAATATGACTACCTTCCTTTGATCGCTTGTCGAAGGAAACATTTCCTGATTGTGGGTGAAAATTAGCTTAAAGGTGAGCAAAACTACACAGCTTCTGTTATCATGAAGCCAAGAGTAACCAAGGCCAGGGATCTCCTGATGAACCCTAAAGATTTCGTTTCTGAACTGACACATCTTTGCAGTTACGGGGAGTATTTTGAAATCCCCAAACAGGAGACAGTAAAAGCCGCCACGTGATAGTTGTGCGTGATGCTGAGCCCCTCCTTTCCTGTGAGTTTGCATTCCAAGAGGAGCCCAGAGGTCATGGATGCGACGTGTAAAAAGCCGGGCTTGTGACAGAGCGGGGGGTCGCTCCGTGCTAACGACGCTGGCCCTCCGTGTGGCTGACGAGCCGGCCAACGACCTCTCCCCACAGCGCTGCAGTGTTAAGAAGAGTGCTTGGACCCCAACCTGTTCCTTAACTGGGCTGGAGTTTTCTTTCCATTTAACGTATTTGCCTTCCACACGACACGGGAAGGATCTTTTTAAGCAAACCTGCAATAGCTGGAAGTGGTGATCAAAAGCGTGGAGCCGTTGCAAGCGAACATTTAAGCAAAAGAAGAATAAATGCTGCATGCTCCAACGGTAGCGATACAAAGCAAGATGGAGCAGGAGGCATTGCCCCTGACGGCTCTCTCATCAGGACGAAGCAGTGTTCCTGGGACTTGGCTGCGTCTCCAGTCCTCTCCCGAATCGATGGCTCTGCCCTGGGAGGCTCGCAGAGCACGTCCATCAACAGGGCAGAGTCTCCCTCCTTTTGGACAGGAGGATTCAGCTTCTCCACCACCAGGACCGGGGCTCCTCCGCAGCTGAGCCCACCGGCCACTGGGGCAGCTATGGCGATCTGCGATACAGGGCTCAGAGCAGCCACAATGCTTTTCAGGGTCTGCTTTGTGAGTGCCTCCTTTCTGTCCATTAGATCATATCTGGGTCAAAGAGCACACGAGGGGGGGACACCCCTCCCCCCGGCCACACAATGCCTATTCAAGCTCGGGCTCTATTCACTCGCCTCTTCTCCCCCCACGGCCAGGAACATGGTGCTCCCACCCCCGCCCCCCGGCTCTCAAGCCCTTACCTTTTGATGTCTCCTGCAAAGACGGCGCTTAAATGTTTTCTGGACAATGCTCCAAAGCAAACTTTGAGCGGGCCGTGCGGCGACACCTCTGGCCAACGGACCAGGAGGCAGAGCGGAAATCCAGCGGATTCCGGTGGTTCCAAGCGGTTTGCTTGTGCCGGCATTCGTTTTGCGGGGGAAGCAGCTTCTGGAGATGGCCAGGGTTCAGGGGTGGGGTGCCAGTTTCGAGGCAGCACACGCAGGAACATCCCAAGAGAAGCACAAAGGAGAAGGAGAGCCGTCCGAGGACAGGAGCACGCATGGCTGGAAGAGAAGAGCACCTCCCTTTCTGCTCTTCAAATGCCCTCTTCACTCTCTTCTGGAGGGAGAGCCATTTTGTTCCTGTTGATCGTTCGCGAGGCGGAGGGTGCCGATAGCAGCCCCCCAGTCCTTCTCTGTCCCACGGCCCGTGTGTTTTACCACAGGTTTTTGTGCATCGGGAAAACCAGCATTTTCTGCGACTCAAATATGATTACCTCATACAGAGTCTCCGAGGCAGAACATTCTCAAGGTTCTTTCCTTCCAGGTGGTGCTGAAACGAGGAAGAAAGATGCCTCTACAGACTTGTGGCATTAGCTATGAAATTGTGGCACAAATTTGTGGTGGAAGTTGGACATTGCCGCCATTTGCCTGTGAGCGGTCACAGTGCCGCCACCGGAGCGCGGTCTTGGGCCGCCCGGCACGGATTGCGGGATCCATTCTGGGGGCCACCATCTGCTCCCAGGCTTGGTGGCACGGAAGGCCTAGACAGCTAATTCTGAAGCGGATCTTGCTCGTCTTGAGACGCATCTACCCACCTGCTGCACATGGAGTGCCTCTCCTCAACAGCCTCCCCGTCGTCACGAGGGGGCCTGAAATGAGGCGAGCCGATTCATCACGGCAACCGATTCCTCTCTCCCAGCGACAAAATACAAAGCGTGAAAGAAAACAACCAGGCAACAGGTTTCAACGACTGAATTAACTTTATTTTTTTCCTAACTGCAGATTCAAGGTATACAACTGAACATTGCTATTTTTCTTATGAGACTTATAAATAAAAATACAAAAAATGTCCACTCCAAAAAAATCTACTGTTAGTAGGATGTAAAAAATATTCTCTTTGCTATAGAAGGCACAAACTTCACTTTGTGACAAATGGAGAGAAAAAAAAACCTGCAGCAGTAATTTCTTTTTTTAAAACCTTTTCTCTTTTTTTCCTTGCCAGAAACACTGAAGGTTCACAAAGAACTATACCTTTGCCACTTACACAGACCAGTGCAGAGGCGCAGAATGTCGACTAGCAGGGGGCTGACACCTTTTTCAGGGCGGGGAGACAATTCTGATTTATGGGTGTGTGTGTGTGTGTGTGTGTGTGCGCGCGCACGCATTATCTTTAAGCTAACTGCATCTGTGATTCTAGAGAAACACCATTAACAGAGACTCACAAGCAGCACTGTGAAGAAAAACAGGAAAGTATTTTGTACAGGGAGGAGAAATACATAACAAAGGCTCCGACATTAAAATTAAAAACAAAACGTAACCGAAAACAAAACAAAACCAATGAAAAATGGGCACCTTCTAAAGTTAGGCTAACAGGAGGTGCTGAGGTAGACTGAGCCAGGAGAGCAATTAAAATCACTTTTTTTTGTTTAATATACGAAGCAATTAAACTGGCACTTGAGCTGTCACAACATTAAAAGACAAGCGAAAACCAACAAACAAAAATAATAAGCTTTAACTTTGCTTGGTCCAGAAGGACAAAATTGGTCCTCAGTGCTATAATATATATAGATATATATATAGATATATATATATATATGAACATAAACGTCATGGAGACTTAGCATGGCTTCTTAGCCTCAAAATATCATGCATACTTTAACACTATGTAAAACAAAGACTAAGACACACAGCAAAGGGCACCTGGAGCTGAAGGATGTCATGGTGGCCCATGTGTGGGGTGCTGGGCTGGGGGCACCCCGTTTCCCTGGCCCCCCTGCTCCCTCGCTTGACCGTGGGCTGGTGCCGGGAGCAGGAGGACGGCGAGCATCAGAAGGACCTGGCTGGAGGGTGAGCGTGGCAGAATCGGTGGGGGACAACCGGAAGGGAAGCAGGTAGAAACCTTGTGGACTAGCTACTTCCTCTCTTAGCACAAGTGGATCAGCTCCATCCTGTCTGGATGTAAAGGCGTTCGGCACCGGCACCGGGCTGGAAGCCCCGGGCGCTGCAAAAGACCAGAAGCTTGGAAGAGCTGACCGGGGACAGGGCAGAGCTGAGCCGAACAGCGGGGCTCCTGGTGCACCATGACATCCCCTAGCAAGCAGCCGGCTCATTTCCTCAAGGAACCCAATCACAGAGCAGGTCCTGCAGCACTTCCTTCCTCTTTCCCACGTAGCAACATACATGTGCAGCACACGCAAACCAAGTGATAAAACCAGCCGTTTTCCAAAGTTGTGTGGAGGCTCCTACTAAATCGGTGCCCACAAAGCAGCCAAAGAAAAGCAGTCACATTTCTCTCACGCACAGAAACACACGGAATACACACTTGCACGTGTATGTATACAACACATCTTAACGCTTTCAGTTTTTGACGTTTATTCCCAAAGCAACAGTTACAGGCAGCCAGGGAGAATACTTGCAAAGGGATTCTGCTTGGGAACTAAAGTTGTATGTGGTCGAGCCGGTAGGTGTGGATTTGCAGATGGGCAAAGTCTGAGTAAAAATCTGTAAGGCATTTGTAACTTGGGAGCATAACCGGGCCCAAAATTGGGTCTCTGAGTGGGTTATTATGCAAACAGAGCAAACAGAAGAGGCGGCTGCCCTGGTGAAATCAAAACCCTCTGAGCTGGGAACAAATACTCCCTCCCTCAATGAAGAACTGGTTGTGCAATCCCAAGACTTAGGTCAGAGGAATCGTGCCCTCCTTCAGCCCCACAGTGCTCACCACGCTGCCGGAGGTCACAGAGAAATTCACCCGTGTCCTGGCGACATTCGTGGCATGGCAGGCCAGGCGTGTTTCGAGCGACCACAGCAAGGAGACTCAGGGGAAAGTCGCGTCTTGCTGCGGCCCTGAGCAGGACCGAGAACGACAAATGCAGCTGTGATGGCCTCGTGGTTGGAGTGCGCTCACCCAAGCAGGTGGGTGTCCTTCTCCCAATCTCAGGCCTTCTTGCCTGGATTCGGAAAAGCTCACACGGGTGGAATTTTGGTTAAATGCATTTTTCCCCAAGTGTGCTTTGGAAGCTGCAATTTCACTTTGATTTAGTACCAGTCTGTGTGGTAACACTGGATTACAACAATACTGCATGATTAGTTAATACTAGGTCACACACACACACACACACACACACACGATTCCTGTTCACATTACAAAAGGAGGGACGGGGGACAACATCCTGCTGAAAACTGACACAGGGACTAACAGATATTACAAAAATATTACACTTTGCAAATAATTTATCAGTCCAACACTTTCATCTTGGTGAGAGATGGATGGAGGGGAAAGAAGGAAAAGCGCTCCTCAGGCCTTTGTCCGCAAGACCAAAACAACGTTCTGCCAGCAAGGTTGGGAACGCACAGACCCTCATGGCCACCTCCTGCAAATGCGGCATCGCCTGTCTACTGCATATTTCTCTTCAAAGGGTCTGCCTTAAAGGACATCGCATTTTTCACATTATAAACAAAACTCTACTTAGCTATTCACATATTCAAGTTTAACTGTTCTTGCTTTTCCTTACCAAATTGCTACTTTCCCCCTAAACTGTTAACTTTCTCGACTGGTACAACAAAAGGGGCTCCTGTTCTTCCATCCCAACTCCCAGCTTAAGGCCTTCAGTATTTACCAATAATTGAGAGAGCTTCGGAGTGAGACATGGGTGGGGGATTGGGGCAGCAGTATTGAGACACCCTCTAAAATTCCCTTTTCTTCCATCTACAGAACCCTTCCCTAACATGTTTTCCCATATATAAACGCAGCTAAATTACAAAATAAAATTTACACTTGCAAATATAAAGCATGAGATGAAAATTGAAATGAACATCACAAAGCAAAAAAAGGATAAAAAGGAAAAATTAACTGACAAAAACACAAATATTGCAAAACTGTGCTTCTGTCACTGCAACAGAACAAAACAAAACCCCAACTTAAAAAGAGGTAGCTTTCAAGATAACGTAACCCCATTTCCATCACATGGGCCATTAAAACAAAACACCACTTTTGGTAATAACAACAATGCTTGATAAAACAACCAGGCAAGAAGGCTGACACAGAACCCGCGTCAACGGCGCTTCTGCGGCGGCGCTTTGGTGCTCCGTGCAAACGAACGCCTCCCCCCCGCAGCCCCGCAGCGCAGCCTTCCGAGGGTCAACCCCAAGCCTCTCCACCCCAAAAGCCAATGCAAGCAAGCTCATGAGGTCACAAGGAACTGAGGTAATTTCAAGTACAATGTCCTAAATGGAGAAACCATCAAAAGCGAAATGAAATTAAGGAAGAAAAGACAACGCAAAGCCGCCTTTCTCAGTCGACGCCTTCCAGACGGGAGAATCTGGTGGGCGGCCGTGCTCCAAAGGCCATTCCTGGGCAGGGAGGGGGCAAGGGAGAGGGAGGGGGCTGCCCTCCCTCTTGGGGCACCTTCTGCCAAGCGCCGAGAGAAGAGGGGCGCAAGAGGATCCGGCGGGTGGCCGGGGCATCCACGGCCGTGTCTGCGCAGGAATCCCTGCTCGGCGGTCCCTCGGAAAGGACGGCAGGCAGCTGGTGGAGAACGGCCAGCAGGCATACATTTCCCGATGCCCCTGAGGGGGCCAAAGCACATCCAGGGCTCCCCTTGCCGGTGAATCGAAGAAGGAAGGAGGCACCCAAGGAGGCCGAGACTCCACTGCACGGCCTCGTGGCTTCCAGTCCCTCCCCTCCCTCTGCCATCTGGGCCTCCAGCTGTTGGCTGGTGGACGTGGAGAGCTGCAGCCGACCTCCCGGTGGGGAAATGCCGACCACGCCTGCCTGCCTCCTGGCCCAGCAGCTGCCGCGCATCACTTGTGCTGAGGGTCTGTGGCCTGGCAAGGGGGAGGGTGCAGGGCCGTGGCAACGTGGTCCCCCGGGGGGGACGCTTCCCCTGGATGCACGTTCAGCCCTGGGAAGGTTCGGCCACCCGCTTGCACCTGGGCGGCCGGGACGGGCAGCTGACGGCGGCAGTGAACCTGCAGGCCTCACAGTGTCCACGCAACCGGCCACACGCCACGCCTGCTTGCTGCCATCAGGCAGGGAAGGCAGGAGTCCGCAAAGCGAGGCCCCGCTGTTCTCGAGGCTCAGCAGGAAGCCACCCTGCCTCCCCTCGCAGGCTCCTGTGCTCCCCAGGAATACAAACAGAGCTCCTGCGTCTCCAGGCCGCCTGAGTGTGTCCCTTGGAAAGTGCGGGGATGAGCGTCCGTTCATGGGTGCGGACAGGGGCCCTGCACCTCCCTGGGCGCACACAGGGGAGTCTGCGGAAGGGGGAAGCTTCCTGTGCATGGTGGAGCCCCAGATCGTCCAACTAGCAGCTCTCAGGCCGCCCACGGGCCCCCTCTCCTGCTCCACCTACTGGCTGGCAGGGCTGCAAAGCTCTTCTGATTTCATCCCATCCTCAGAGAAGGCTGGCCTCTTGTATCGGCAAGTGTGCAAAGTTACACCATTTCTAACAGGGTTCACTCACTCAAATCCCTTTCCCACCCTCACTAAACATAATAATAACCATTAATAATAATAATGCATAGAATGGTCTTTGGTCAGGACAAAGGGTCATGGACTAGAGGGAATGTCTACGAGTGAGTAGAGAGCTCTTGCAAACTCTGTTTGCCCTTGGTTGCGCTCTTTGGGCAAAGTAGTTGTCACCTCGCTGGAGCAACAGCGGCACATCTTTTCAGCCCAAACCAGAAACAGGAGAAGGTGCGTCTATGGGAAAGTGTATGATAGGGTGGCGGAGGCACCTCGATACTTCTGCTGCTCCCCCACTCCAGAGAACGCCGCCCTCTGTTCTCCCACATTTGGCCATTCCCACCCCAAACAACCTGTCCACCTCACCCCGGCAGGCAGCCTCAGAAGCAGGCTGGGGAAGCCACACGCAACCAGAAGCTTTCAACCCAGCAGGTACGCATGCATGCTGATCACGCATCACCCCGCGTCCCCCCGCCAAGGGGCTGCTTGGATTGGGCAGCTGGCCCCTGCCCAGAGGGGCAGCCTGGGAAGAAGACAAGGAGCAGCTCTTAGGGAATCTGTGCGCCGAGACAGAAACCTGGTTCCTCGCCAGAACGCTTGCAGCTGACGGAGGACAAAATATATCCAGGAGAGAGCCTTCTCCCCACGAGGGTTCAGCTTAGCAAGCGGCCGAGGACTCAGCGACCCACTGCAGAGCACCCACAGGCTCTCCCTCCCCACTCCCAGGGTCCTGCTGCACACGAGCACTGAAGGGTGGATGAACAGGGTCCCCGGGATGGCTGCTGGTGGATTTCGCATCCTGCAGGTTGTGGCCAGAGTGCTCCAAGGAGTTTTCCTCCTCCCTGTTTTATCCCCACTGCAACGGAGAGGGTCTTGCACGTTGGAAGAAGGTGACCAGCAAAGCCTAGCCGATTGAAAACTGAAAAGAGAGGGAGGGAGGGAGGGAAGGAGGGAGGGGGAGGGAGAAGGAGAAGGAAGGAAGGTAGGAAGGAAAGAAAGAAAGAAAAGCCGAGACGATTGGGGGGGGGGGTTGCCCAGTCCTTCCCAACTTCATCCTCCATCCCTCCTGTAGTCCCTTTAGACGTAGCAAAGGTACAGGTAGGTCTTCTCTATTCGCCAGTCACTGGGGATCTCCTCCGGTTTGTGGCCTTTCATATGCTTCTGCATGGCGGAAAGGCTGGGGCAGTATTCCAGGCAGATGGTGCACTGATATGGGGAAGCGCCATTGTGGGTCCTGAGGTGCTTGATCATGGCCGAGTAATCTCTGGACCGCTGGTGGCAGAGCTTGCACTCAAAGGGCTTCTCACCTGCAGGAGGAAAGGAGCAAGGGAAGAGGCCGTTCATCCCAAGAGCACCACTCGCTCCCCAGGTCGGTGCCCTCCAGGTACCGTGTGGTGGGTTGACCTGGAGGGCGACCGGCTGGGGTGGGTTGGCCTCAGCTCCTGGACGATGGCTTGGAAGGGCTTACTCTCGGCCGGATATCCATCGATAAACACGGAACGCGCACACAGGTTTAGATGCTGCTGTTACTTGCGGCCACATCCCTCTGACTTGTGGCGACCGCAGGAATGAAAGCCCTCCAAACTCTCCTATCTGTGACAGCCCAGATACTTGGCTAGCTGCCATTTTTGGTGCTTAACTACCAGGCCGCTAAGGACCACGAAGCCTCGGGCAGGGGAAAGCTGTCGGAAGCCGTGGACTCGTGGTCAAAACCCCAGGTCCACATTCTGTGGAATGGGAAGCAAAACTTCCTATGCTTAGCAAGGCTTCGCTGGCATGCGTCAGATGAACTGGCATGGTGCACCTGCGTTGTTTCTTCTGTGCTGCCGTTGTGTGTGTGTGGGGGGGAGCCATGCAGGGCGATGGCAACCCCACACTGATGAGCCTGTACATCCCCCATCTTTCCCGGCATCTGAAATTTCAACAAGCGCTGCCCACGGCTGCTGTGTGTCCTTCCCGTTGTCCACCGGCTTTGTGCGCCCCGTGGCTTTCCGAGGGGCTCTCTGGCTCCCAGGCAGGTGACCGTCACCTGGCTCCGCTGACCTTCCTGCCGAGTTACTTGGCTTCTCCCGGAGAATCCTTCGGTGATGCGGGCGGCAGTCAAGAGCCAAGGGGGCTCGTTTCGATGCAGTAATTAACTACCTTGGTCTTTTCAGTATTGATACCTGCTCTGTGCACAGACAGAGCGAATAATGGAGTAATGAACAGCAAAAGTGATCTGAATATCGATCTGCCATTTGCAGTGGTTGCCGGCTACCAGCGTGCTTGGAGATTCACGAGGTGAACCTGCCAGTGAGGAAGCTGGATTCTGCGGGGAACAAATGGCCCCGCTGCTCTCGGCACGGGGAATCCCACCGCTCGTGGCGAAACCTCACAGGCGGAGGAAATGCGGGGAGGCTGCCTGGGGAGGCGGCTTGGGCACAGCAGCGTTGTCCAACGTCCACCCGGTAACGTCCACTTCCACACTGAGCAGCCGCTACAAGCTGCTTGTCAGGAGCCCTTGTGCGTTGTCAGGGACACTGGGGCAACTCAGGACCTGGCCTGCGTGTTGGGAACAGGCCGGGTCCTGAAGGGGGTGGGGAGCCATGGGATTCCAATGCCCATGGGACAACTGGATGTGGCAGGCAACTGTTTTTTCAAGAAAGCTTGTCTGCTAAGACCAGTCTTCTCCTTGACAGCCTGGGCAACTTTCCGAGGAATCCAAGGGAAGCCTTTTGAAAATCACAGATCGGGGGAAGTGCGTTCAGTCAATCCACGTTCAACGAGCGGCTGCTCACTTTCATTCCTGTGTGCCACGTGCCCCCTGCCTCTCGACCAATGCTGTTCAGGCCTGGGGGCCGGCCGCAGCCCCTCCCTTGGATGGTTGCTCCTCAGCTCAGGACTGCTTTCAGCCATGGGAGGAAGTCTATTTCAGACAAGTTCTTGACAATCCAAACAAACAGGCCGACAAGCACAAGCACAACAAGAGAACCAGCAAAGCACCCACCATACTTTAGCTTGGAGCATTTCATGGGGGAAGCAGGATCCACCCGGAGATGTTGGGGGGGGGGGTTGTCTGGCTGAGACCCAGTGAGGCAGCTTGGATCTGTGGGTCTGAGGACCAACTCCCTTTTCTTAGGCAGAAGGACTCTCAGCATAAGTCCTTTAAACAGGAGGTGCTGAACACTGAACTGGGGACCTTCTGCAGGCCAGGAGATGTGTAGCATGCACACATTGTTGCCAGCCCCTTGGTCTTCTCGACTGGGTTTTGGCTTCCTGGACTGGTGGAGGCCCCTGGCCCCACGGTTCTTTCCCGGCCCTGCTAGCTGGGGGGCGGGCACAGTGTGTCCCCAGAGCACCATGAGCTCCCCACAGAGTGCGGCGCCTTACCTGTGTGGACCCTATAGTGCGTCTCCAGCTGGTGCTTGAGGCTGAACTTCTTCCCACAGCCGTTGCATTCGTAGGGCTTCTCCCCGGTGTGGATGCGCTTGTGGCCCTTCAGCGTGCTCTCGTCCCGGAAGCAGCTGCCACAAAACTCGCACTCGTACGGGTGGTCGCCTGCAGCCAACAGAGGAAAGGCCAAGCAGAAGGATCAGGAACCGCTGGAAACAACATGGCGGGGCTGCGGGCAAGAGCCCACAAGGGTTGCACAGGAGCTGCAGCACCCTGGACAGCGCCAGGCAGGCAGTGGCTGCAAAGTCTGCAAGGAGCGCCCGTGCCGTTTCTGCTTTCGTGGGACGCGACGTCATCCCCACCAACACCGGAGTGAACCAGAGCAGGCCCGGTGGGAAGAACTGCCTGGACGGACACCTGGGCGGGCAGGGAAGCCCTTCACTCCCAGCCCCCACCCTGGGTGCGCTGCAGAGGACGGGGCCGAAGCCCTCCCTGCCCCCAGAGCCACGATGGACCCCTTGCAACCCAACTGGCCTCGGACCTGGCAGGCACCTTTGTGTCACACGGGAAGTATATTAAATAGAACATGCTGCCTTTAATAGCAATGGCAAGATCTGTGTTCTGGAGGAGCCACTCTCTTCATCGTCCTGAATCCCCCTGTTCTGGTAGGGAAGCTCTCGATTTTGGAAGCCTCCCGGAGGCCGAGGCACTGGCTCCACGGGGACAGGTGCTAATGAGGCAATGGGTTCCCTGTGTGCACCGAAGCTCCAGAAGAGGGAACGGAGGCTCAAGCAGAGCGAGACGGGGGCTGCTGTGGCTGAGACTGGGAGGGACCCCGTTACAGGGAGGTCGCACCCCACCCCACAGCCGGCTGCTAACAAGGACGAGCCCCATGCAGGCGACACAGCGACATGCCCTCTCCACGGCATCAAGCCTCCCCATTTCTCTCCAGCAATTCTTTTCGGCATGACGCAAGCCCCGGCTCCAGCCGATGCCGATCCCGTGGGCCAGCTGAAGTAGCGTCTATCCAGCAGCGAATGTGTTCCCACGGTCCCTCACTGGGGCGTGGGAAACGGAGGCGGGTCTTGGCGGGACACGCGCGAACGAGGGTGAGGCAGGTTGGATGCTCTTCTGAGCACACTAAGTCCTTATGCTCGCCCATCTCTTCTCCTCCTCTTGCTCACTGGTCCGGAACCCAGAGGAATTGTGGGAAGGAGGAAAAACGGAATACCTCCTGGAGCAACACAGAGGATAACTGGCTCACTTTGGCCAAAGCTCCTGCTGCTGAGAAGAGCTTGGCTCTCTAGCAAGCCAGGCTGGGGAACAAGGTGCCAAAATGAGTCTTGGACACAATCCACTAGGCAGTTTTGCTGCAGGATCCGCACTCGTGCAAAGCTGCCAGCCCTCTTGCAAAGCTCCCCTGCGTGACCCCGGGTGTGCGCTCGCTCCCTCCGCAATTGTGGGCCACCAGGTGCTGAAAATCTTCTCGTTTGGGCCACTGCCTCAACCTGTCTTCT